AAGTTGAGTTATTAGTGAATCAAATGATTATGAGTTTGTATGAGAATAGATGTTAAGTTTTAGGGACTGGATAGAGTTACCTTTTGAAAATGAATTTGCGAAAGTAGATTGTCTACATATTCCATACTACAATGAATTAATGCTTAGATTAAGATTAACTCTCGAGGACTTGAAAATGTGTTAAGTTCGCAGTGATAGGAAAAAGAGTAAATTTGTTTACTAGTGTAATTTTAGCATTAACTACTATGAAGTTATTTCTACGAAGTTGTCAAGTCTTCCTATTAAATGATGTGGACATTTAGCCTTGCATAATTGAGAGGGAAAAATGTTTCAACTGCTTGATAATATTTTCAATTGATCCGGAAAGGTTACACAGATTACCTCTAGAGGGAAATAAGAAATTTTAAAATAATGGTATTCTATTCAACTTGATCTCGAGTGAGATGATAGCGGTAAACCCTGTGGGTCATGGTGCAAGTGTGAGTTGGACATGTAGTAAATATTCGGTAAAGATTCAAGGGAATATGTTCCCAGTGAATCTGATGGAATTATCATTTGACAAGTTTGAGATTATATTGGGTATGGATTGGTGTCTCCGCCTTATGGTTAGATTGTTCGTCTTAAGAAGCGATTACTTCAGAAAGATACAGAGGATTTAGAAATCATAGTTTTTTAAAGAAAAACAAAATCATTGCCCAATGTGATATCAGCAATGATTGCGAAGAAATGATGTTAGAAAGATGTATAGTTTTTCTGGTTAGTGTGAAAGATACTTAAGTATTTAAAATAGGATTTTATGATATTCCCACAACTCGGGAATTTATAGATATTTTTTCATATGAATTACCTGAGTTACCTCTAGATCGAGAGGTGGAATTCAAGATTGATGGTTATCAGGGTATTGAACATGTTTCTATGGGTTCATATCGAATGACTTTGATCGAGTTAAGAGAACTAGAGGCTCAATTACAAGAGTTGATTAATCAAGGTTTCATCAGACCGAGTGCTTCACCTCGGGGAGTATTTGTGCTATTGGAGAAAAGAAAGATGAATATATGTAGTTATGCATAGATTATTGACAGTTTAATAAGGTAACAATAAAAGAAGAAGTATCCTCTTCCAATGATTGATGATATGTTTGATCAACAAAAAGGCGCAGTAATGTTCTCTAAGATAGACCCTTCGATCAGGATACCACCAATTAATATTTATGAGGAGGATATTCCAAAGACAACTTTTCAGACTCGGTAGGGACATTACAAGTTATGGTGATGTCATTCGATTTGAATAATGCCCTTGCAACATTTATGGATTCGATGAACCAAGTATTTCAATCTTATTTGGATCAATTTGTGATGGTAATTATTGATGATACTGTAGTGTATTCAAAGTCGAGAGATGAGCATGATGTTCATCTTTGTATTGTTCTTCATATTCTTCGAGAGAATAAGATGTATGCCAAACTATTCAAATGTGAATTCTGGTTAGCGGAGGTTGTTTTTCTTAGCCATATAGTCTCCGCATAAGGCATAAGAATAGATACCAAAAAGATTCAAGATATAGTGGATTGGAAAACCCCAAAGAATGTTTCTGAAGTTTGGAGTTTCTTGGTGCTTGCTGGTTACTATCGAAGGTTCGTGAAGAACTTTTTGATGTTAGCCTCACTGTTAACCAAGTCTTTAAGGAAATATGTGTTTTTTTTTAAACGGAGTAGTGCCAAGAGAGTTTTGAAATGCTAAAGAGGATCTTAATAGAGGCACCAGTGCTTGTATGACTTGAGTTGGGTAAGGATTATGTGGTTTTTAGTGATGTACCTTATAACGTCTTGGAATGAGTACTTATGCAAAAACGTAAAGTTATAGCCTATGTCTTGATTAAGTTAAAGACTCATAAAAGGAATTACCTTACACATGATTTAGAATTGATAGCAGCCGGGTTTGCTTTAAAGGTTTAACGCCAATATATGTATGGTAAGCGGTATTATGATTATACAAATCACAAAAAGCCTAAAGTACTTGTTGACTAAAAAAAGTTGAATCTGAGACAGAAAAGACGGATAGATCTTTTAAAAGATTATGATGTGATCATTGATTATCACCCAGGGAAGGCATTTGTTGTTACAAATACACTCAGTCGAAAAACTTTTATAGTTTTGTGAGCTATGAATATGCGACTAGTGTTGAAAGAAATGGCACTGTTGGCTAAATTAAAGATATAGCTGATGTTTTTAGATTGGATAAGATAATTACAAATGAAAGATGAAAATTTCTTGGTAAGAATTGCACAAGTAAAAAATGATGGGATTAAGGACTTTTGAGGTCAGGTCCGATGGATGTTTGTACTATCATTAGAGAATTTGTATTTCCGACGATGAAGATCTAAAGAAATATATTCTTTTTGGGGCATTAAGTCAGTTTAATATGCATTCAGGTGGAAACAAGATGTACCAAGTTTTAAAGAGTCAGTTTGGTGGCCTGGTTTGAAAAGAGCCATCATGGAAATTGTGGCAAGTATCTGACGTACCAATAGAGGAAAGCTAAACATCAAGTATCTTCTGAATTATTTCAATCGATCTCGATTCATGAACGAAAAGGGGAAACGACTCAATGTGGGCTTTGTTACAAGGCTACTTTTGGCATCTAGCAAGAAAGACTCATTATGGATGACAATTCACTTTATTTTGGTATGATCATATTATTTGATGGATATATATAATGAGTTATGCATATAAAAGATAGTTAGACTGCATGGAGTGCCAGTATCGATCATATCCGAAAGAGATCTAAGATTCACTTCAAAATTTTGGAAATTCTTTCATAAAGCTTTGGGTACTTGATTGAATTTCAGTACACTCTTTCATTCGCAGACAGATGGTTAGTTGAAGTGTACTATTCAGATATGGGAAGATATGTTGAAGGCAAGTGTGATTGATTTCAAGGGATCATAGGAAAAAAATTGCCTTTAGAAGAAATTGCCTATAACAATAGTTATCAATTGAACATCAATATGACTCCATACGAAGCTTTATATGGGAGAAAATGTCGAACACTATTAAATTGGTTTGAATTAAAAGACAAGAATATGGTTGACCCTGATTTATTGAAAAAGGTTGAGGATAAAGTGATAAAGTTATTCTGAAAGTATAGCCTTGGAAGAAAGTATTGTGGTTTAGGGCGCAAAGGAGAAACTGGGTCCGAGATTTATTGGACTTTATAAGATTTTAAAAAGGGTCAGACCAATAGCTTATCAATTAGCTTTACCTCCAGAAATATACAAGAACCATAATATTTTTCATGTGTCGTTGCTTATGAAGTACCAATCAGTTCCATCGTATGTTATTTCATTGGAGGAAATAGAGATTCGACCAGATTTGACTTATGAAGAAGAACCAGTATGGATCTTGGATCGAGAAATCAAGAAACTGCATAGTAAGACAATTCCTCTAGTTAAGTGCTTTGGTAAAAGCTTAAAGTCTTAAAATTCTAGGACAAATTTTTCTTAAGGGGGAGAATTGTAATACCCCCAAATATCAGGTCAGTGACTATATTATACGTATTTAAAATTTTGGTAGGCTAATTTGAATAAATTGAATAGTACCAGGATTTAGTTAGGAAATTATGTTTAAAACTAATTATTAAGAATGGAAGGATAGAGGGGCAATTTGATCTTTTAGAATGAATGAATTTAATATTCATTCTTTTGGGGATATTTATTAGGATGAATAAGAGAAAAAGGGAAAAACTGCAAGAAAATTGGTTCTCTATTCTTCTTTTTCCCGTCGTCACGTGCCCCCATAACAAAGGTAAGATTCCTTCAAGTTGGTTTTTCCTTTCATTTATGGGTTGGTTTTGAAACCTTAAGTGATATAGAAGCTTAAGGAAAGCTTAAGAGTGAATAAAACTAAGAGATTAGTAATTTATTATAGATTTAATAAAATTGATTTTTAAGTGATTTGATGAAATAGGGTCAGTTATTGGAGTTTAAAGGCATATTTGACTTATCAAAGAAGTAAATAAGAAATTGGGAGCCTTATAAGTGATTGAAAACATGTTTGAAATTTGGGTGTGATTCTTAGTTTTGAGTGTCCTTTGGAGATTTTGAATGTTATAAGGAGATTTTTGTATTGCACTATGTGTGCAACCTCACGAAATTCATAATGAGTTTATGAATTTCCGTATTGGCACTATATGTGCAACCTCACGAAATTCATAACGAGTTTATGAATTTCCGTATTGGAACTATGTGTGCAACCCCACGAAATTCATAATGAGTTTATGAATTTCCGTATTGGCACTATGTGTGCATCCTCACGAAATTCATAATGAGTTTATGAATTATCGTATTGACACTATGTGTACACCCCATGTAATTCATAATGAGTTTGTGAATTACCGTATCGGCACTATGTGTGCAAAACCATGGAATTTATAATGACTTAATATATTCAATTCGTATTTTGATAGTTATGATATACTTATGTTTTGATTTCAACTCATTATGATTTTGCCTCACTAAGTATATACTTAGCGTGTGATTGATTTTCACATGTAGGTAAAAGGCAGGATTATAATTAAAGAGTACATAGCAACTCCAAGCATCAAGGAATATAATACAATATCAGTAAGACATTCTATGATGAAATTTTGACTCAGTTTAGTGGCATGTACTTATGAAAGTCCTATTAGCTCTATTTAACTATTTTGGAAACTAGTTTGTAATAGATTAGCTGAATCATTTTATGCTAATTTTAAATATGAATAATATGAACAAGTATTACAAATTTGAGTAAAATTGTTTAATATATATATATAATTGAAGAATGTCTTACAAATTATATTATCAAATTGTTTTATCTAAAGAAACAAAAATTTTACTGGTTTTTAAGTACCAAAATTGTTTCAAAAGTAATGTGACATATGTGACTCGTGTACGGAAACGTATACGGGAAATGGGTATTACACATAAGGTTGGCTACTAGCAGTAGTACTAGAAGATGACATTCATGGAGGCGACTGTTGCTCCGTCATCAGCTTCCTCTTCTTGTAATTTGCCTTGAAACACGCTTTTCTAAGTCTCTTAGTCTTATCTTCCAACTCCATGTCCGACATCGATTCCAACATCTTCATCTCCCTCCCCAAAACCTCCATTGCCTCCCTCAGCTTCCTTTCGCTCCCCTCACCCTCCTCTGTCTGCAACATCATAATATTCGTTTTGTGTTTGTATTCATGTTACTTACATTATAAACAGAAAGAAATGAGTCCATTAAGCGACTTCAATTGTTGAAAGGAGTCTTATTCTCCCCAGAGGTCTCGAATTCGAACAATATACAGAGTGTTTGTTGTCAATGACTAAAAAATATTCTAAATAGATATTATCTTGTAATGACTTTTTACTATTAAAAAATGAATATAGATCATAGGAGGAAAATGTGTACCTGAATGTTATTGATAAAGGTTTTGAGGCTCATAAATTTCTGGTGCGACCACTGGCGGATTCCGACTCTTTTATGTGTGGTCTATGTGGTATGGGTTACAAATCAACTTAAAAATATACATGGGTTTTGGAGTGGAGGTGGGAATATCTTCTACTGAAGTTGTTCTCGATAGGTTTAAATGTTTGATGTATTAAAGGATTATTGGAATAGAACGAGTTGATGCAATTGTAATTATATTCGATTTGGTATTAGTTCGTTGGATCGATGGTGTACTTTGTACTACTTGACTATATGTGCTCTTTTCTTCCATTTAGATGCAGTAAGGTTTTACGAGATATACAATTTAGGTTTTATATCATTTCAATAATATTATTGTCGAAGAAAAAATATGCACAATTTGAAACTTACCTTGAATCTATTGAAAGATGGGGAGGGAAAAGTGATGAAGATTCTTCTCGTTTTGTGCACCAATGATCACACCAAAATAATGTAAATTTATTCACATTATCATGTGGTTTGAATTTTAATAACTCAATGTTTACATTTGTCGTAAAATGAAAGTTTAGTGATAAAAATAGTATATACCCTAAAATTTAATTATATCTAGTGTAATTTACCCTTAAAAAGTTTGAGTTTTTGGACTAAAATAACTTTTTCAAATTGAGTATGGAAAAGAGGAATTTACCCCTTTTTTACTAAAATTTTATATTGGGGGGACTAAAAGAGCTATTTTACCAAACCGAGGTGGCATGGCTCCTGGCTGCTCCTGGTTATATATATATATATATATATATATATATATAATTACAAAAATGCAAACAGAGCGGGAAAAAAGAGAAATTTGTTGCAAACAAAGGAAACATCTATGTAAACCGTTCGGCAGTCTTAATATACGAATAAGAAAATACGTTATCGATTTTTTTATTATTTTTTTAATAAAACTGATAAAAATTATCTAAAATATTATTATTTCTACCTAAAACATTAATATTTTTTAATATTTCCGGTAAAGTGTTCCAATAATAACAAAATCAGAGGAAAAAAATAACAAAATCAGTAGCGTTTTACCAGATATGTTAACAAAACCAGTAAAACATCCAATAATAATAAAATCGATATAAATAATAATATTTTCGATAATTTTTTACTAATTTTATTAAAAAAGTAATAATAAAACCAACAATATCTTTCCTTAATTATATATTAAAGATGCCACAAGGATACTTTCCACTCAATAAGATCTCAGAACTTTCAGTAGAAATTAGGAAACGGATGCTCTTAAAGCATTCACATGATCTATCCATGTCCCCCATAAGAGAGCAGACGAAAGAGTCTCAGATACAAAACCCAAGAATAATATCACAAAGTCCTCTAGAAAATGATGATAAGAAGAACCAATGTGGGGTTCAATGGGATTCCGACAATGAAGCAGACATTCAGGCGTTTTCTCGAAGCCAAACTCTGTTGGAAGGACACTCTCGATGTAACTCTGATCTTCAAGCTCATTCTCGAACAACCAGTGTCTGTCTTTCAACCGGTGGAACCACGACAGAAGACTTCATAGACCATGGAGATATGGTCGATCGAGGACTCGATGTAGCTAGAAGCTAGAGATCTGCCGAGGCCACGATCTCTGGGTACCGTAGCCAGGCTGATGGGATTGGAGCCTCTTAGATCAGACGATCCGAACAGTCCAACGGCAACTTCTATCAGCGCGAGAAGCTTGTTAAAAGACTCTACTTGACCGCGGTGGAAAAATGGTTAGATAAATTAAAATATTAATTTTTTGGTTTTCATGTCAGCACCATGCTAGAACTAAATGACCATACTATCCGACTCATAATGAGTTAATGATCCAGTGTTACAATTAAAATTAAAATTAAATTGTATAATTTAATTAATTTTAAATATAGTGGTAAATAGATATAAATACTGATATTTAATATAATTTATCTTAAAATTTAACAATTTTCTCTTAATCATTAATTGCTCTCATGTTTTTCAATCTTAAAGTTCTATCTAATAAAAAAAGTTAAAAACTAATTTAATGAAGAATATCAAATTTGAGGATTAATTTAATTTGGGCATCTGTCCCTTTGGGGATGTTTGGTTCGGGGAACGTAAGATTCTCATGGAATGGAATCTACATTCCCCCGTTTGGTTGGTCGGTAATCTCATTCTCAGTAATATAAGATTACCAAAAGTGAATTTTTTAGGGTATATTACCGGGAATATCATTAGCTCTATTCCCTTAGGTATTGTTGGATTATCGACTTTTTGGACTAAAATGCCCTTAATTTTTTTTCTCAAAAATATCATTCTTCTGTCATTGAATAATAAAATTTTTACGAAGGTTAAATTACAAATTTATCCTGAAACTATTTTAGATTTATAAAAAAAATCTATAATTAAAATTTTATATAAAGTTCAGAAGTTAAAATAAAATTTTACCATTTCATTAAACCTTTTTATATTTTCAATTTTATAAAAAAATTATATAAATTTTATGAATTTAATTTTTTTAAAAGAAAATATATAAATATCTTATATTAATATTAGAGTAGAATTCAACTTGTTAAAAAAACAAATATATAATAAGGACAATTTGGTCAAATATACATTCCAATAATCTTTTATTCCTTTAACCAAACAGGGTAATCTTACATTCCTGCTAAACCAACCAAACAAAAAATATAACATTCTCAGTAATCCTATTCTCTGATAATCTTTTATTCTAAATGGTAATCTTACATTCCGTGAACCAAATGCACCATTTTGGGTATTTTTGTTTGTCGATCCGAGCAGAATCACATGGCAATGTAGCCCCCAACTTCACCTAAAAATAATTTTATTTATTTATATAATAAATTTAAAAAAATTAATGAGATAATTATAAATTAATTCTTTAATTTTATTTAAGAAAATTATATGTTGACTTTTAAGTTTGTATTAAGGTTCTGTCCAGGTTAGATATTAATTTAAAATAAAAAAGAACCTAGGATAAAATACAGAAGAGATCATTGAATTATGTTAATATCCTCTTTTTTGACAAGTAGACTTTTAAATATTACAAAATAACCATTAAATTTATTAAACTATTACAAAATAGTTATTAAATATATGAAACTATTACAAAATGATTGTATTAAAATATTTGAAAATTTAATGAATGAAAATATCATTTTAACATAATTAAGCGGCATTCGATATACTTTACTCAATAAATTATTATGTATTTGTGTGTTTATACATTTTGATACATCATATTTAAGTATTTAGATTAATTTTTTTAGTTAACTATTGGTATTCAATATATTTATTAACTAATTCATATTAGGTTTTGTAGAGGTTTATTATGAGGTGACCCTCCCAACCCAATTTGCTTCATTCATAATTGTCGAGATTCGAAAGAAATATAGTGTCCTATCTCAATAGACAATCTGATTGTCGGTAGTATTTTGATTATTTTTCCCAAAAAAAAACAATATAATGTGTATCTGCCGATCTGATGGAATCTCAATACTCTACTTTTGTCATTTTCAGGGTTGTTTCTTTAGCATTTTCTTGTTTTAAGCTATAAAGTATCATTATAATCAAGTCAAGTTAAATGTAATTATTTGATTTTTTTAGCTATAAATCGAGTATATCACTTAAATATCTAGGCATATTTTATATTAAATCAATCTCATTATATTTAAAAAAAATCAATAATTATAAAATTATTTACTATTTAACTTTAGGGTTAGTTATACTATTCATACAATAAGTATACCAAATTTTCAGTTTCATACATAATGTTTTAAAATTCTCGGTTTCATACATGATGTTTTCTGTCATTAACGGGTTGAAGGTGGCGTAAACCCTATGACCACTAACAAAATGATACGTGACACTTTAAAAAATATTTAAAAAATATTTTTTATTAAAAATAAAACCCATTTTCTCCTTATTTGCAACGGACAATTTATATCAAGGTTTTCTTCAGAAAAATTGAGGGATTTGATTTTGTATCAATCAAGGCTTGTGTTCTGAAATTTTAGGTAAACAAGTGTTTTTTCAATTTCATTTTTATTTTTGTTTGGGTATTTTCACATTTTTTTGTTGATATTAAAATGATTATAGGGTTCTTTTTGATTTCATTTGGGTATTTTCACAAATTTATTTTTGGGGTTCTTTTTTATTTTATTTGGGTTATACAAATTTTGGCTTGCTTATTCGTTTTGAATTTGTTTTTCATTCGATTGTTTTAAAGGATGTCGTCATATTCTTCAAACTCAAAGGAAAGAAACTGTCGAGGATTTTTTTTCAATTGTGGGAAGAAAGCTGAAATCCGTACTTCCATAAAAGAATTAACCAAAGACCAATGATTCTTTAGTTGTTTAAATTGGTTCCAGGTTAATTCTTCTTCATGGATTGATGAAATGTGACACTTAATAGAAATTAGTGATAATAGTAATGAAAATTTATTTATTATTTTGAATTGAATTTATGAAATGTGATGCATGAGGATGGATGTAAATTCTTTCGTTGGGTTGATGAAGATGTTGAAGATAAATACGAAAAGGGCATTATTTTTGAATTTATGACAGAAAATAACATGTTCTTAAAGAAGAATCGAGAGTTGAAGGTTGCTCAAGTATTGCTGAAATGCAGAAGAGATTGTTGTGTAAGTGATTGTTCAAAATTGTTGGAGGTGGAGGAGAAGTCGAGGAAGGTCAAGTGTGAAACTTGTATGTACAGGTTTGTGATATTGTTGTTTATGTTTTTTGGTGTACTGTTTTCCATGAGTAATTCATAGATTAGAATTGCTCACCTTGCAAAGTGTCCAAGGTTGATGTAGTGTACAAGGTTGTTTTAGTTGTTTTCTATGGTGTACTTTTATGTACTTGTTAACTTTATGCTAGTTTTAGCTATACAAGGTTACTTAAACAACTTGATGTTTATGAAATGTTTTTTATTATACATCTATTGCAAATTTATAGTAGGGGTGTTTAAAAAATCTATAATCGTTAACTGTAATTATTAATCAATATAATTGTTACATTTAACAGATTAATTAACTGAATCGTAAATGCTAAACGGTTTTGGTTAACCGAACCGTTAAAAATTATGGTTAATAATTAAGGTTATAGTTACAAATTTTGATAAACGGCTAACTGTTAATAAATTAAATTTATAATAATATTGGAAGATGTACATACTTACACCAGTGTAAGTACATGTTAAGTGCTATACTCTTTGGGAGATACATACTTACACATGTGTAAGTATGTGTTAAGTGCTACACTATTTTATTTTATTCACTTACACCAGTGTATGTATGTGTTTAGTGCTATACATTTTTATTTTATTCACTTACATCGTCGTAAGTATGAGACCATTTAAAATCCACGTGGAAAATAAGGGGAAATTGGGTTTTATGTTTTAAAAAATTTAAAATATTCTTTTAAGTGCCACGTGTCATTTTTTAGTGGTCATAGGATTCCACGTCACCTTCCGTGACGGAAGTGGGTGAACCCATTAACGGCAGAAAATATCATGTATGAAATTGAAAATTTTAAAACATTATATATGAAACTGAGAATTTAGTATACTTCAGGTATGAATGAGGTAATTAACCCTTACATTTATTATTAAAAACATATAAAAATTTCAAAATAAAAGCATCCCATGAAAGATTATTCATCAACGTTAAAAGCTTTTAAGTTTTTCTCTGATGTATATCAAACATCAAAGCAACTACGTACATATACATTTGTGTCTATATATATATATATAACAAACAGGACAAAATAAGACAAAAAGATCAAAAGGATCAATATTCATAGTATTTGTGTAATGAAAACAGGCAAACTCAGCATTAGATGATGATGTCGGTCGATGAAAAAAGTCAGATAAAAGAGCTTTCATTTCATCATCATATTCTTCATTTCCCATGTCATAAGGTTGGCTACTAGCAGTAGTATCAGAAGATGACACTAATGGCGGCGACTGCTGCTCCATCATCAGCTTCCTCTTCTTGTAATTCGCCTTGAAACACGCTTGTCTAAGCCTCTTAGTCTTGTCTTCCAACTTCATGTCCGGCATCGATTCCAACATCTTCCTCTCCCTCCCTAAAACCTCCATCGCCTCCCTCAGCTTCCTGTCGCTTCCCTCACCCTCCTCCGTCTGCAACACCTGTACATTCGTTTCATGTTCGTATTTGTGTTAGTTACGTTAAAAACATAAAGAAAGGAATCCATTAAACTATCTCAATTGTTGAAAGAAGTCTTATTCTAGAGTCTCGAATTCGAACAGTCTACGGAATATGTTATCAACGACTAAAAATGATTCTAACAGATACTCTCTTATAATCATCTCATACTATTAGAAAAATAAATATCGACCATAGGAAGAAAATATGTACCTGAATGTTGTTGATAAGGGTTTTGAGGCTCATAAGTTTCCGGTGCGGCCACCGGCGGATTCCGAGTTCCCTACACCTTTTCTTCAACAATGTCAGCCCTACGTTGAGCTCTTTGGCCGCTTGTGTTATAGGCATGTAAAAGTATTGGGAGATTACTTCCTTTGACGGCATTTTAGCGTTAGGGTTGCATTTCTTTTCCCTTTTAGCTTTGTTTTCCTTCGCTAATCCTTCTTCTCCATTGTTAACCTTCAAAACCTTTTGATTTTTGGGTTCAAACAATGCTCCTACTTCATTCCAAAATCCATTGCCATTTTCATATCCGAGAAGCTGATCCTCTGCAAAGATAATTACAAATATTTTATATATTTTTAATATTTATATTTATGTATATACATATAAATGATCCCTTGTGGTCGGGTAGATAAACTTTTTTAGTGCTCATTGTGTTTGAGTACAACTAAATTTAAAGTTGAATCAAATAGAAATCTAAATAAGATTTTTTGTGTTCTGGTCATGGTTAAGATCGAAATCAAATGAATCAAAACTTTAAATACAAAAATAACTTCTTTAGTACCCTTTGTTTCTGAATCCTAACTAATATTAAATTTAGAATAAAAAAGCCGATAGCTTCTAATTGGAGAGAATACTTTTAACATTGTTTTCTCTGTAAAATTTAAACTTGAATATCTTACTTAAAAGATATCGAACTCTCAACCTAATAACCATTATACATATACATAAATAAAAATATATATATATATATATACATTGTGGTGTTTTGATTTATGAATTTATAAACCTCACCTTGAGTTGAACTTTGTTGGATGTCCAAAGGAGCATATAAACAGAAGCTGCTCATCAATGGAACACCAGCATTGTCAAAGCTCTCCTGGATGGGAAACTCATCAAAGTTGTTTTGCTGCCAATCCAAGGAATTATAGAATACACTTGCACTGAAACAAAGCATTAGAGCATAAAATTCTTGAGAAAATCGTAATCATGCGAGCACATTTACGGTGATAATCGCGATTACGGACATAGCAAATACGAAATCCGAAACTTACCTTGAATCTATTGGAAGATGGGGAGCGAAAAGCGATGAAGAATCTCCTCGTTTATCCACATGAAGATGATTATCAGACTTAGACCAGCTGCTGCCATTAAAGGAGTAGTGACTTCCCATTTTGCTTTTCGAGATTGTGAGAAAAATTATATGGGTTTGGAAATGTGAAGAGCCTATTGATATATATATATATATATGTATGTATGTGATGAAATGAAGAATGAGATAACTATTGATGATTGTGGATGATGGTGCGGCGCCATGGATGAAACTGACCATGCATGCATGCATGAAGATGTCTTTAAAGACTCATTATTATGAGATTAGGTTAATAAAAACGATTTTTCGCATTTAATTAATTTTGTAACTGCAGATGAATGATTGTAATTGAAAGAAAATTATGTGTTTCAGTGTAACTCCCTGATAATAAAATCTTATTAAAAGGTAGAACACAAGTGCATATACTTCGTGCGTCCATTAATTGGGTCATGATTAAAACTGATTATGGGATTTTTATTAAACTGATTAAAATCATAGGTAAAATTACGTTTAATTTTTATTTTGTTATCTCGTCGTAGAAATATGATGTGGTATAGTATAGTAACACTTTTAGTTCCAAAACTTATCAATTCTATCAAATTCATCATAATCTTAAATAATTTTAATAAATCTTTAATATTTAAACATTATTACTAAATTAATAATAAATTATTAAATTATTTCAAACTAAAATAGGAATAAATTGATAAAACTTTTAATATTAAAGATTTATTAAATTATTTTAAATTAGATCAATTTAATAGAATCTGTAAATTTTGATGACTAAAACTATTATTATTTCATGTCACTTCACCATTTCCATATAAATAGTACTCAAACTTGATAGCAAACTTGATAGCAATGTATTTTAAAAGAAAAAATAGTTAGATGATAAATAAAATTTACATGATCGAGCTTCAGTAATTTAGATTTTGTCCCAAAAAGGTAAAAATTTTGTAGATAAATCTCGATCATGACTCGAACTAAAATCTATACAGTAAATTTTGAGCCACTTTAAGTAACAAAATTTGAATTTAAATATATTTAGGTACTTATTTTTTCATAATTGTTTTATTCTATTCACTCCAATTTCAGAAAATAAACTAATCCACATTTAAGGGCATAACTAGGGGTGTATTCGGTTCGGTTCGGTTTTTTATCAAAAATTGAACCGAACTGAAATAAACGGTTTTTCAAAATTTAAATCGAAACCGAATAGTTAAAAAAACGAAAAAACCGAAATCTGTTTTTCGGTTCGATTCGATTTTTTTAACGGTTCGGTTTTTCAGTTCGGTTCAGTTTTTTAATGAAAAAATCACTTGAACCTATAATTTTTTAAAAAAAATTGTCTATTCGGTTCAATATGGAACAAATGGGTTCCATATGAAAAACTCGAACTGAACCTAATCAATAGAATTGAGACTTTAAATCAATCCAAAAACCGAACCGTATAAGGTCAAACCAAATCAAACCGAACCGTTTTACTCTGTTCATGTCTGTTTTTCAATTTTCTCGATTTTGTTGTTCAGCCCTATGCTGAACCACCTTTATTTAGAAGTGTCAAGTGACACCTATTTTTTTATAATTTTTATATATGAAAATATTAAAAATAAAATTAATAATACACTAAAAAAATATTAACACTATTAATTTATCCTTTGTTTAATTTTAAATATGTATATATACTCTTTTAATATTATGACTCCGTAATTTAAATTTTCTTATTCTACTCTGAATGACATTTTAATTATTTTCGATGACATGACGTCTAAAAATTGTTCATCACTTTGGGTTTTTAAGAAAATTGTTACAAAATTAGAAAGATGCTAGAAAATAATTGATCGCAAATAAAAAGGAAAATATAAAAAATTCAAACACAAATTCGTGTGAAAAACCTTAACCAAGAAAAAATACAGATAAAAAAAGAGATTCATTAGGAAACAATTTTATAAGAGATACGAAAAACATTTATCTTTAACTATATATATATATTAGGATCTGCTTACACAATATAAAACTATTTAATTTTACACAGATTTAGAACAATTTGATGAGTGAAAAATAAATAAATGAGATAGACTTCTTGTTATTTTTTCTAGTGAATATCTTCTCATTTCCTATTATTAATCTCAGTCATCTATTTTCACTCATCTAATAGTTCTAAATCTTTATAAAACTAAAAGAGTTTTACATTGTGTAATAGAGTTCTATCTATATATATACTAAACTCTAGACAATGAACTTATATTATGTTATAAGATTCCGTAAATTGTTTAGACCAAAACCTAACTAATTTCAAATCATAATTTATAACAAAAACATATACATTATTCTAATAAATTTGAAAAAAGCATAAAATTAAAATTTAGTAGGCAAATATATAAACAAAAACAGAGTCCTTAAAGCATTCAAGAAATTGGATTCAAAATAATGACTTTACAACAAACATAGGGACCCACAGACTTCTATAGTGTGGCCCAAAGAATATTGAATCAAATATATATATATATAAATTAAGGTCGAATTAATTTATTGTATTTGTTAAATATATATATATATATAAACTGCATCCATATTATCATAAGTATCACTGTACATTACCGATGACCTTGTGATTCTGTTCTCAGGTATATCAGTCCCCTTCGTATCCTCTACAAAACAAAAATGATGATTCAAACATTTATAATATGGTGCCTTGGTTCGACTCTTTAATTTTCTTGAAGAGTTTATGCTCGAGTATATATGGATATGAGCATGAAAATATAATCTTTTAAATATATGAAAAATAAAATATATCCATATCAAGTATATAGTTACAAAACAGAGTCAGAATCGAACTATAAGAAAACTAACACGAATGGAGGGTAACAAGAGTAAAAGAAGTCGCGGCACAACCAAAATTTTGAGAAATTTTCATTATAATATTAAACTATTTTTGAAATTTTTATGTAGGTCACTTCAAAATTTTAAAAATTCTCACCCAATCTTAATTTTTTTTAATATTTTTAATTATACCATTTCAGAATTGTTAAAAAATCTCATTAAACCTCCCAAAAGTTTTGAAAATTTTAATTAGTCCCTCACATATTTTAAAAATCTCTCATTAAGTTCCTCAAAAAATTTTAAAATTTTGATTAGACCCCCCAAATTATACCGTCAAAATCAGTCACTGGGGGACTAAGTTTTTTTTTTAAACTTTAAACAAACAAATCCAAAAAGTTTATTAAACCATAAAAGATAAAGGAATTAGGGCTTAATTTCACTAATTTTAAAATTAAAAGATCTTAAAAAGTAATTAAACCAGGAAAATCAGGGATTAAGACTTAATTTTATTAATTTTAAAACTAACAAAATCCTAAAAATAATTAAATCAGAAATTTTTGGGAGGAGTTAGAGCTTAATTTTAACTACAAGTGATTTAAATTGCAATTAAATCATCAAGGTTGGGGGAGGGGCCATGCGTGCCTCTGTCCCTGCATAGCTATATAGAACAGTCGCACCAGATTCAAAGTAACCAACTGCCTTACAATGCGACTGAAAAATCATACCTCTCCTGTATCTCGGATACGTAGCAGTTCCAATTTTTCCGAAGGCCTTCGATTTGACACGGTAGCAAGCTGTCCGATGGTCCGAGTTGGTGATCATTATATAATCAAATTCAAACAATAACTAAATCATATACCAACGATATAATGGGAGAAAGAACCGTACCCAGAAACTGAAGCGCTCAGGGTCTCGTGTATTAGGCATCATTGCTTCAACGTTATAGAGCATCTCAAGCCTTCTTCGATCTGTGCAGAAGTTGGGAAAAGTAGTAACAACACACATTATATGTTCGTTATGCTAAAGAAAATTCGAGACGATAAATAACCCTCCTTACTCGGTCTCGAAACCTATTAAACCACAAAAAAAATCGGGGACAACGAAAAGTTGTAGCAACATTAAAACTCTAAACCTTAAAAGTTTTCGAACATGTCGCCTTTTGGCATCTTAGTACATGGTAAGATAGAACCATATCAGTCTGCCTCGAGAAAATGTGGTGAAATGAGACTAGCTCAATTTATTAGAACCATGTTTTAAGATGAATCGATATTAGAGAAGTATTAACAGTATGGTTTCTAAAATTTCAATGTATCCGACTTAAGAGTCTTACCTCGTGTTGCTTCTTTTGCCGTACTTAGCCATGACCGAGCATATGCTGCTGCATTATTTGTCAACTCCTGCAACTGTAAGCATCATGGGCATTATTATACTATGTTGCTTGGACTCTTCAATTTTCATGAAATACTCGTGTCTGACACTTCGATTTGGAGATTTGACCTATAAGGATCCTCCAATACCCGTGTCCGACACTTGCACCCGGGTCCAAGTAACTTAGTTATTACATAAAATAACTAGTTGATGCTTATTGGCAACAACAAAAAATGATAAATCATACATCTTCTCTTTCTCTAGCATCTCTTGGGGGTACGTCTTGTACCCACTCGACCTCTGCCATTCGATATCTGCAAAGATTGCAAAAGTATGACGTCCCACAACAAAAACTAGTAGGGGCATGAATATTTGAAACTGTGAGTAAAAGCATATGGTGTACATGATCAGATGATGAGAAAACTAACCCATCTTGGTCCCATGATCTGAGGATGCGAAATCTCCGGCGACTTTCAATCTGCATTTTGTATAAATATATGATTATTTTTTGCCAGATTTAAATACAAACATTATGTGTCCAACATTGGGGTAAAAAAGAGGTTTTCTCTAGTAGCTTCTTGATGCTAGCTTACAGGTTTAGCTGAATAAACATAGAAAGATTCAAATTATATTACTGTAAAAGAGGCTTTCTCTAGTAGCCTCTTGATATTATTGTATCAACCTTCAGATCAGAAAACGCACAAATTCCTTTTTGTTTCTCGTAAGGGTGAGCAAAACTCGATTTGGCTCATAATTTCACAAACTCGACTCGAAAAAAATTTCAAATAAAATTTGAGTTATAAAATAGGACTCGAATAACTCGAAATTTGTAGTGGATTGGTTTTCAAGTTCTAGTCGAATCTCTCAACTTTGCATGATATATGTATACTGCATATGAAAAAATACAAAGAAATATATATGCATATTGTATATGGTTATAGAAAGCAGTTTAAATTGGAATCAATTAGAAATTTTCAACTTTTGCCTTTGTTCAGTTTAAGAGTGAGGCAGATTTGAAGAGGGCAGTCGAGGTCTTAAATGGTGTTCTGATAGATGGGAGAAAGATTTCAGTTGGTCCTGCAAGATACAAGGGAACTCCTTCCTGGTTAGAGGGAAAGAATACTGCCTCAAAGAAGGTTCTCAGTCAGAATATCGCTGGAACATCCAATTCCAATCAGGCGAAAGTTTTAAATAATGGTTTTAGGGATGTTAGGTCTTACAAAGATGCTTTGTTGTCAAGCAGAAGTGCAATGGGGAACAAGGCGAATTCATCCAATGATATTCATAGGGGGAAAGTGAAGAAAAATATTCTGGAAATGCATATTCCTTCTGAAAGCTCAAGTTGGGTTAAAAGGTCATTAACGGGGATTATTAAACATTCATTTCAGATTGAGTCAGTTCAAAAGGCGTTACTTAAAGATGGCTTTGAATTCCAAGTTGTCGATGGGACATGTGTGGAATTCTTGTGTTATTGTCTTTAATTCATCTGAAGAGATGTGGGATACTTGGTTGAAGAGGAAAGAAGAACTAGAGTTATGGTTTGATAGATTAGCACCTTTTTTGAATGATGAGGGTGTCCCAATGGCCTTCTATTTAGTGGAATTAGTGGGGGTTCCTCTGTTATGCTGGAATGATCAGTTCTTCAAACAATTAACAAGGAGATAGGGGATATTTGTTGACATTCATGATGCCACTACGAAAAAAGAAGACCTCACAACGGCGAAAATATTATTGAGGGTGGAAAGTTTTTTTGATGTTCCGGAGGTGATCTCTCTTGGTTCATACGGAAGATCATTTAAAGTGTGCATCAAGGTGGGATCGGCGAGCCAGGCTTCAAGTTCTTTTTTTGGCAGCTCTCCGGTGGAAGATTACGGTGGGGGACAGTTTGGAGAGAAGTTCTCTGTAGAGGAAGAAGTCAAATTGATGTCAGAAAGTGGGAAAGATACAGATGGTTCAGCAAAGATTTTCGGCAAAGAGTTGACAATTGGTTTGACAATGGAGCTTTTCATGATTCTGGGGAAGTTGGCGGGGAGAAACAGCTCCCAAGACTTTCCATAGATAGGAATGGCATTAATTGTGGACTGTCAGAAAGTCAGAATATTGGGAGTACAAAAGTTGGTGATTTTGCCGGGCTAGGAATTAGAAATTCAAATTTTTCTACTTATGGATCTCAGCCCAATCAGATGATGAGGGACATTCAGGGCTTTTTGTTTCAAAAATAATTCCAGCTGGTCAAGTAATTAATATAGACAAGTTTGGCAGAATGATCCACAAGCATAATTCTATTAACTCTGGAAATTCTAATAAAGAAGAGGGGAATGACTCAGATTCGGAGAAGTGTCTTCAGGCTGGATTAGGGCAAATTGGACCAGAGTTAATGTTGTTAGATCCAAGTACTAATATGGCAGAAAGTTTTTCAAGGGGGAGAACTCGATGCAGAAATAAAAGACCGTTGTCTTCAAAAAGTGTTCCGTTAGAGAGAAGAAAAACAAGCAGCTATAAGAGGATTATACAAGGTCTAGGGACAGAAAATTCGGGCATGGGAGTGTTTTGAATGTTATGCCTGAAAGAGAGGAGGAATTAATCAGTAAGGAATGGGAGTTTCAGTTCTCAAAAGATGCTCAACAGATGGTGGATGTGGAGGTTGCAGGAGAGTTGTTAGAAGGAGAAAGCACTAGATTCAGTTCGGGCTTTGACATCAGAAGAGCTAAAAGACGGCTGTTAAGGGAACTGTGTCTTCTTCAGCTTTTTCGAATGTAATGGAGGAAGCCCTAGCTACTTGGGAAATAAGCAAGCTATTGAGGGTGTCCTTTAAGAAAGGGAATGAGGCTTTTTTGGATAAGATTATCAACTTGGAGAAAGAATTGAATATAGTCAATCAAGGTAATCTTGATGGGGGTTTAGATTGATGATTTTTTAATGATGATGTTAAAGTTATCAATTGTAACTTGGAATGTTAGAGGCTTAGGTACAAAAGAGAAGCAAAAGGCTGTTCAGAGGCTAGTTTCAGAATACTCTCCTCATTTTCTGTGGCTGCAAGAAACTAAATTAGAGAAGATTCAGAGATCTTTTTTTAGAAGGAACGGGTTAAAAAATTACAAGGGGTTATTAAGTCTCCATCGGTTGGTTCAGCAGGGGGGTTACTGAGTTGCTGGGATGACAACATTTTTGAGTTGCAAAATCAGTTCATAACCAGCAGATTTATTGCTATTTCTGGGAGATTTCGTGCTAATAATTTCAGGTGCAAATTTATTAATGTGTATGGTCCTTCTGTTGAGGAGGAGAAAGGGAGCTTTTTTGAAGAATTAAGCATGTTTATAGGAGGTCAAAGTGATCCTATTTGTGTTGGAGGGGACCTTAATGTTTATCTACATGAAGTTGAGAAGATTGGTAGAGCTCAGAACAAGAGTTCAATAGGGATTTTCAGCCAATTTATGTTTAATACAGGGTTGATTGATTTGCCATTGAGTGGGGGTAGATTTACTTGGTGTAACAACCAAGATTCCCCGACCTATGTAAGGCTGGACAGATTTTTGGTTGATAGCCAATTCATGGCTGCTTTTCCAGATCTTGTTCAATCGTTACTACCAAGGTCTGTCTCAGACCATAATGCAGTTTGAAAATGGAGGTATGGATTGGGGGAAAAAACCGTTTAAACTATTTAATTATTTGATGGATGAAGATGGATTCTAGGATCTGGTCAAATCTACATTTCAAGAATGTAAGAGCTTTCGGAGAAATGTTGGAATTTTCAATAATCTAAAGCAAACCAAATCAGCCATCAAGAATTGGGCAGGGAAGAGGGACAAGTTTCCAGGAGTTCTAATTTCTGAGTTAGAATTGAAGATTCATAAGCTAGAAATGGATGGTCTGCATATGCAAAATGGTTCCAATAGTGAAAAAGCAGTTGAACTGAAGGAATTAAGATCAGAATTGTGGAATTTGTATAAGATAGAGGAGCAGATTTGGTTCCAGAATTCAAGATCGAAGTGGGTTGAAGACGGGGACAGAAATACCAGATTCTTTCATATGTGTGCTTCAGTTAGGAGGAAGAGAAACGCTTTGAATGTTCTAATTAGCAGGGGAAATGTTATTCAAGACCCGAACGTTATAAAGGCCACTGTTAGAGATCACTTTTTTAAGGCTTTCAATGATAAGTCTACCTTAGAAGTGGAAGATATAGGACTGCATTTTTCCAGTATCTCATATGAGCAGAATCAGATTTTGGAGAAAGTTTTCACAAAGGAGGAGATATGGGATACTTTAAAGTCTTGCAATAGCAATAAAGCTCCGGGGCCGGATGGTTTTAATATGGGCTTTTTCAAAAGATATTGGAATGTTCTTAAGGGAGAGATTTTGAAGTTCTTTCATAATTTTTACTTGGGGAATGATTGGGATCATGGCATTAATCATACCTTTATTATCCTCATTCCTAAGACTTCTAACTGTGGTGATCTTGATGATTATAACCTATTAGCTTCGTTGGTGGATTATATAAGATCCTCTCTAAATGTCTTTTGAGGAGATTGAGGAGTTGTATTTCAGACTTAATTAGTCCTACTCGGTTTGCTTTCACCCAAGGTAGACAAATATTGGATTGCTCTTTAATTGCAAATGAAGGAGTAGATTTTTGGAGGAAAAATGGAATTAAAGGCTGTGTTTTCAAGGCTGGTTTCAAGAAAGCATATGATTCGGTTGATTGGGATATTTTGTTTCTATTGATGGAGAAAATGGGATTTGGTCCCAGGTGGAGAGGTTGGATCATAGAATGTGTTTCCACAGCTTCTGTTTCGGTTTTAGTTAATGGAGTTCCTTCTGAGGAAATCCCAATGGCAAAGGGACTTAGACAGTGATGTTCTTTATCCCCTTTGTTGTTTAATTTTATTGGAGAACTTCTTAATTTGTTGATTTTAAAGGCTGTTGACCAGGGGCTGGTTCTTGGCAGAAATGAAGGCTCATTCACTTTATCTCATTTACAGTTTGCGGATGATCTCATTATATTTTGTGGTGCATCTAAAATGCAGATTTTAAATGTGAAGAGGGTGTTCGTGTGTTTCAAGTAATCTCAGGTTTACAGCTCAACATGAAGAAAAGTAAATTGTTTGGTGTTAATTTGAATGAGGAGGAAGTTCAGGATTGGGCTAACACTATCGGTTGTTCAGTTGGTAGTTTTCTCTCTGACTACCTAGGGCTTCCTTTGGGAGCTACTAGGAATTCTGCAGCTCTATGGAATCCAGTGATTAATAATTTTACCATAAACCTATCTGGGTGGAAGGCTTCTTCCCTTTCTTTAGCAGGAAGATTGGTATTGGTTAAGTCGGTTCTATGTTCACTTCCTACCTATTATTTATCTTTATTTAAGTTACCAGCTTCGGTTCTTAAAACTCTCAACTCAATTATGTCTAATTTCTTATGGAGAGGAAGAAATGGTAAAAATAAAATTCATTGAGTTTCTTGGCCGAATGTGAACAAACCTAAGACTGAGGGGGGTTTCGGTATTCTTAATCTAAATTTCATGAATAGAGCACTTCTTCAAAAATGGTCCTGGAGGTTTGCCAATGAAAGGGAGTCTGTTTGGAGGGCATTTATTTTTTCAAAATATAATCTAGATTCTTCTCTGTTATTGTTTGACGGTAAAATCCCTCAAAAAGTCTCTTGGATTTGGAGATCTCTTATTAATAATCACTTTGTGGAGGACAATTTTGGTTCCAAGTTTGTGCAGTTTTCGAGTAGGAGATGGAAGATTAATTCGGTTTTGGCAGGATAATTGGGTTTTGGATTCTCCTCTTTTGCTCATTTTCCCTAGATTGTTTTCTATTTCCACTAATAAAATGGACAAATTATTTGAATTTGGGGAATATAGTTCTTCGGGCTGGATTTGGGATGTGCAATTTCGAAGGAATTTAAATGACTGGGAATTAGAGCAGTGGGCTAATTTGATGGCTGTCATTTCCTCTATTTCATTATCAATGGAGATTTCTGATGGGATGATGTGGAAAGGTACTGGGGATGGGGTATACACTGTAAAATCTGGTATTAAATTATGTTCATCAGATTCTTTGGGTTCGGAGGACGTCCACTTTTGGAAGAAGATTATTTGGAGGGGTGACTTGCCGCCAAGAGTGGAGTCTTTTATGTGGCAGGTTGTTTTAGGGAAGTTGGTTGTTAAGACAGAACTTGTTAAAAGAGGTGTTCAAGGTATTGAAGACGTGGTATGTCCTCTTTGCAAGTTGGAGGATGAGTCTTCCTCACATTTGTTTATCTCTTGTTCGGTGGTTTGGGTTATTTGGAACAAATTTCTGAATTTCTGGAGGATAAAGATTGTTTTTCATGATAATGCGAAAAGCTTTCTTCTTGCTTAGGTTGCTATGAAGACTAACTCTCCAATTTGGTCTTTAATTCCAGGGTCGTCCTTTGGACAACTTGGAAAATAAGGAATCTAATTGTGTTTGAGGAGGGAAGTTAGATATGGTTGAATATTTCTTCTTAGCAAGGTTTAGGCTTGCTTCTTGGTTCCTAGCAAAGCACAAAGAGGTTTCTATCCCTAAAGATTCTCTTATTTCAGATCCTTCCTTAGGGGACTCGTGTTCTTTTAATGCCAATCAGATTGTTTCTGTTTCTCCTTGGTCCCCTCCTCCTAAAGGTTTTGTAAAACTTAATGTTGACACAGCTACTACTAGAGATTGGAAGAAGAGTGGGATAAAAGGAGTTTTAAAGGATTCCACAGGGTTGACCTTAGGCTTTTTCAAGGAAACTGTTGGTCAAGGGCCTCCGACCTATATGGAATTAAAAGCTATTCAGAAGGGGTTGGTGTTCTATGCTGATTTTCGAGAGAGTTTCAAGGACCGTTTGATTATTGAAAGTGACAGCAAGATGGTCATGGATTGGGTTAAGGAGGTAGAATTATGTCCTGATGTTTATGCTTTTATGGTTAAAGATATTGTTCATAGGCTTGATGTATTACATGGTGTTGTTAGATGGGTAAATAGTACAACTAATTTAGAGGCTAATGCCTTAGCTAAAGAAGGAATTGGTTGATTTAGTGTTGTTTACTATGGGTGGTTTATGGGTGTTTATTGTATTTATGTTTTTCATGGGGGTGTTTTGTAGGTTGTATCTTATGTAATTTCTTTTGTTCAATAATACCCTAAGGCACTCTTTTCCTCCTTCCGCTGATTAAGGATCTTCTCTACAAGCTCCTTTAATCAAGAAGGCGGTTTTTAACGAGGCCTGAAATTCTTATCAAAAAAAATGAGTACAATAACATTATAAATATTTACAATTAAATTTAAACAAAAACTTGAACAACTCGACCCGAAATAATTTTAAATAAAGTTTTGAGTTATAAAATAGAATTTAACTCGATAACTCAAAATTTTAACTCAACTCGTTTGAATGCTCTCCCCTAGTTTCTCGTATAAAGAAAAGCTTACTCATGTATTCGTATACTTAAACATATGCCCGTAAGTAGTAATGCATTAAAAAACATGAAAGTTCGGTTCTAGAAAACAAGCCACTGAATGTAGGGAAAGACCACTAGTAGCAAGGAAGCTTCTAGATTCGCATAAAATTCTAAAGCCGGGGTAATATACGAAAACCCCATCTATGACCAAGCTGCAGTTTATTGTTTAGTTTAAGGAACGATTAATCTTATATTATTTGTTTCTAAAATGTCTGCTTTATCAGAGACTTTCAGATGGAGGAATTGCAAATGAATAAAAGCTATTTTTGCAACTTTAGTGCATATAACACAAAAAATCTTATTGAAGGCAAGGCGAAGGTAAGGCAAAGGAAAGTTGATAATGTTCACCTCTAGAACAAAGCGTCCATCAGGAAGTGGCTCACATCTACATATTTAGAGCACATGAAATGATCATAAGGTTAAAACACATAATCTTTTCAAAACAAAATTTGAGCTATGGTGCAATGCTTTTCGATTGAAGAAAGGTTTACAAGCCACGTACTCGGTGATCTCCACTTCACAAGCAAAATCAGCAATGGTATCTGTAGCGGGATCACGGATGACCTACATTAATAACGGATCAAAAAAATAAATAGTGAGGGCCCCACATCTACATATTTAGCACATGAAATGATCATAAGGTTAAACACATAATCTTTTCAAAACAAAATTGAGCTATGGTGCAATGCTTTTCGATTGAAGAAAGGTTACAAGCCACGTACTCGGTGATCTCCACTTCACAAGCAAAATCAGCAATGGTATCTGTAGCGGGATCACGGATGACCTACATTAATAACGGATCAAAAAAATAAATAGTGAGGGCCATTACACATGCTTTGACAAAAGAAAGAAGAACCAATGAAAATAAGGCCCACCATTCCCATCCTATGATTCCCTTCCATTATTCTCCTCACCTGTTTTCAAGCAAATAAAACTAAATCATGGTGATCAGAGCAAAAAAATATGCATGTAGAAGTGGGCTTTAAAGGTAAGATGAACAACTCAAACTGATGTCAATTGCAAAAACAGGCTAACAATTCACTTTTCCACATTACAAATCCAGTAGCAACGCACTTTAGACACAGGAAGTAATCAGCCTGAACATATGCACCAAATGTAAGAACATGTGACTAACAATTGTAACCTTTAGTTCAGCTATCAACATGGAAGGATTGCATGCCTTGACAACCAAATAAATAAATATAAATATTTAAAAAACCAATGAATCACTACCAGGTTAGCCAGGCAGTGACCCTAGTCGATTAAGATCAAATAAATTCAGACAGAAGGATTCGTCTAAGAGGCTACACTAAGAAACTTTTATTTATACAAAATTGGTAGGATAAGTTAAAGAATGTGTGCTCTGACCTCCTTTCATCATATTCTTCTGGGAAGTTCTTTTGTATGATGTTGTTTAGCGTTACACTATCAAACAAGTAATGTTATTAATAATAGTAAAAAAAAAGAACAGAAATCCATGCCAAAGAAGTATAAATACTTTCAAAGAAGAAAATAGCAAACTAACACTTAGCAAAATGTAAGAAGTTGACAGAAGACAATTCCCAAGTTCAGTTATCATAAACTACATGTGGATATGCCAAGTTCTTTAGGTATGAACAGGTCTTCATATGCTAATTGAATCAACTGAGGCCATAAGATTCAAAACTTAGATCATTGTTCTCCAAAAGAACAACATGAATAAAAATCTACAAACTGTCAGTTGCAGCCTACTGTATCTGTAATATAGAAGAAATGAATAGTTGTTTCTCAACTAATCACACAAGCCAGTCAAACAGCTGAGGTTCAAGATCATGATTCCCTCCCAATTTCCTAACAGAAGTACTTCAATTGATAACCAAAGACCAGAAGATTACCTTATTGCACATGTCCTAGGACTAATAAATAACACTGTTCGGCACAATGGGCATTTGTTACCTATCATTTTAATACAAGGTCAGAAAATAGCATGGTGATAAAAAGCACAATAAGAATTGGAATCAACAACCACAAATACTCACTGCGATCCATTGTCTGAAATAAACATGAGCGACAAAAAGAATGCCCGCAAGGTGTTGTTATGGGTTCATATAGTAACTTCAGACAAAGTGTGCAATCAAAATCATCAGTACGTTCGGGCCCCTCATGGCCTCTAGTCTGCACCAAGCTGGAAGGCCTCCTCTCCAAACTCTGAAGAGCAGCCCGGAGAACGGCACTATTTATTACCAGAAGTAAGGATCATTCAGATCAGAAACTAAAATTCAATATATGTTAAAACAAAATAAAACATAAACTACCTGAAAGGATCAATTTGAAGACCAGAAAGAATAATATCCCATGCCACCTCATATCTTTCCAACTGCATGGTGAAAACAATACAAATGCTTGATAAAACCAATATGGCATAGATAAGTGAATGAACATGTGCATATGTATGTTAAGACAATAATAGTACATGGAGAGGCCCACAAGACTTTTAGCTAGGGAATTTTGAACAACTTTGGATGTGCATGTGTAAAATGCAGGGTCAAAACAAAACAATAGAGAAATCAGGCTGCATAGATTATGCACATGTTCTTGTGCATTTGTTATCAAGCATAACTAGATATACACCCATAGTAATTTTAGCTTGGATCCATTTATATCAATCAATCCATCACTTACCAGAATTAGAGCATTGGCCTTTAAGATATAGGATCTTACTTCATTATTTTGCAAGCTCATTAACCTCTCAGCATCCTTAAGAGCAAGCTGAAAAAATAGTAATAAAGTTTCATTCTTACAGAAAGTCTGCTTTATATCAATCAATCCATCACTTACCAGAATTAGAGCATTGGCCTTTAAGATATAGGATCTTACTTCATTATTTTGCAAGCTCATTAACCTCTCAGCATCCTTAAGAGCAAGCTGAAAAAATAGTAATAAAGTTTCATTCTTACAGAAAGTCTGTAAAAGAGATAAATAAAGCAGAATGTTCTTCTGAGCAATTTAAGGATTAAAGCAATAAGCATACTTCAGCAAGTGTTGTCATATCCAGTCCATTCAATGGTCTATATTCAGAAGCTGTTGGTGATCTACCTTTCAGAAACTGACTAATCCTGCATAAGAATTTCCACAAGTTCTCCAGCATAATTAACAGGTAGCACAGGACTTCAAAGAATGCCAAACGAACATGTAAATGAAGGAAGTATGTACACACATATGTACATATGTTGTATCTATTTATGCACACATCTCTACAAAACAGTGACAACTAGCATTTACAAACCTAACCTCATGTAGGCAGCACTTCTATTACCAAGAATAACAGGATCACCAGGTTTCATGTTATTGGCCCTTGAGTAATTGTTGATAGCCTGAATGAAAAACATTATGTATCAGCAAAGGAACAATACAATAGAAACAAGTAACCAAATGTATAATTCTTATGAAATTTAGCATTGTTGTTTCAGTCATCATAATAAACAGACATAAAGTTAAAGAACCGTTAAGAAAGTAAGATTTTAACCTCCTCAAAACGATTCTCTCGGAATGCTCGGTTTCCATTCTCCATAAGATCATAAACATGACTATATCGGTCCCATGGCAATGATCCTACTCCTTCATTTGCCTACACTTCAACCAGGGTTCATTAAATTCTTAAATATTGTAGGAAAAAAAACACTCTGCACGGCAAAGATGCACAATAACTAGAGTAAATTTTCATTTATTGCTAGAAAACTCATAGATGAACTGAAACCCTAATTACGCCAACCAAAGATTAATTATAGAGAGACAAATCATCACTTCTTTTTAGTTTTTTGGTTATAGATTTCAGTCATCAGATTCACAGTTATCAAAACCAATATAAATCAGCTATTTCTTCTTTATTTATTTTGACCAAAATTTAATGTGCCAACTGCCAATAATGTTAAGAAAAATTCCAATAAAACATAGCACACTCAGAGAGTTAAGAAATGAAATGTGAGTCCTCTGTTAGTAAACTTAAATATATAATTGGACCTTCCTCATCAACTTAAATTTTTTGGATAATTGTTTACCTAAGTTAATATGGTATCAAAACTCCCAAGTTAGAACCCCAGACATCCGTTTCCCCTTTAATATTTCTTCACTCGATGTAACTTTGCCTATCTGGCTATGTGATACTGCCCTAACCGCTGTTCAGCTTGCATCTTTGGTTTCACATAGGTTCACGTGCAAGCTTATTAAGCATTCATTTGGCTTGCAGGTGAAGGGACATGTTCCCCTTTTGATAATTCGGTTATCCAATTTAACAGTTGCCTAGAAATTCTCAGCACCCAAACTTATAGTGAAGGATAAAACAAACAAATATGACAGTTAAATTTTGTGTTATTTCCCACATTGTTACCAACTACCAAACAATTCTAAGAAACCCACAACTAAAACAAAAAAAATTTGAAGGAGTAAACGAAAACGGAATGAATACAGCTGTTTGATCATCAAGAAAAATGCATGAACCTGATGAGGGGGGGGAGTTTCATAACTTCTTTCAGTCTTAGCTTTTTAATTTCTTCAAACAAAATAAAGCAAGACATAAAAATATAAAATAATTGCACAACAGACTCAGAACCTATTATCCTTTTTTTTTCTTAAACCATCAAAGAGATAACTTTGTTATATAATAAGATTTTAGGCAGCCATTTTTATTCAAAGATAATAAATAAAAATACATATTCTTAATTCTCTCACACAGGAACGAAACTTTCCAGATAAAGCAAAATAAAAGCTAACATATTTTAAAAAAATAAAACGCATGCTCGTTATTCTCTGTTCCTACATTTTCTCAGCATCCAAACAGTCCTCGGAAGTACAAGAAGAAGTACTTACCCAAACGTAATCTTCCACATCATCAATTCCTTCTAAGACGATTCCCGAAGACGACGCCGGTGCATCAGACATTGCCGCAAAAAATGAGAAAAAAAAACTCCAAAATAATACTGAAAATTGGAGATAATAATGAAATCTGAACGGGGAGAAGTTGAAAAGAAAATTCGAAGCAATCGCGTCTAGTTCTTCGTCGTACGTTCCTCGCATGGACCAAATTCCTCTACGTGTTCACTTTCATATCGCTTTCCAGTCTTCCATTACGAGACTTTAATTGAAATTAAAATGACCATTTATTATTATTATTTTATTTTTTAAAAAGATCTTTAAGGCTGAGAGCTATTCTGGCTGTGGCTGGCAAAAGGGAAGGCTCTTATCGGGTGAGGCCGGCTTTTCAAATTTTCAACTGTAAAACTATAAAATGGGATAGTGTAACATTTAGTCCTTAAACTTTCAATTTTACAATTTGATCTCTAAACTTTTTTAAAAAAATTAGTCCAAAAATTTGTATTTTGTGTCCTTTTAGTGATATGAAATTACGATATTATTTCATATTATCACTGAATCATTGGAATTGATAAGAAAAAACATTTTAATTGTAATTTAATTATTTTGATATATATATATAAAAATAATCGATTGAGGTTTAACTCGGTTAAAATTTTTAAAAAGAAAGATCACTAGTTTACAGTAATTAATGAAAATCAATTACAGATGAAGAAATATTTTTATCTTGTACAAATATTGTTCAAAATAGATTTTATCACAATTACAGATGAAGAAATATTTTATTAAAACTATATTTTATAAAATTTATTCAACAATAAATAACTTATACGTAACTCTTATTAAATATAGATTCTAACATTAAAAGTATAGTTTTTATTATTTTAATATTGTATAGAAGTATACCCACGCTAACACAGTGCTCGAATGAGTTCGTTTAGATTTTCTTTGAAAGATTAAATATCAAAACTATATATGAATTTCGATTAAATTTGTAATAATGTATTTGAATTTAAATTTCGTTTAATTATATATTTAAAAAATACTATATTTATATAAATATAAATATAATCATTTATTTTTTTAGCAGGAACCGAGACTTTAGTGTTAAATGAATTGTTGTTATTCTTTAGGTTTCGGGTTCAAGTATCAAGAATTTCAAGGACATGAACATTTAATATTAAATGGTTGAGAGTTATCTTTAAATAGATATTGTCTTATACTTATCACATATTAATAAAAAATTTATGATATTTTACGTTCAATTAAAGTTTATGGATAGTGAAGATATTCATTATTTTTAGAAATTAATAAATTCTATGCTAAAAATATTTATAAATTTATAAATTTATGTGTTTTGAAAATTAAATTATTTAAAATAAAATCTTAGAAATGATCTAAAAAAATGAATAACCTATTAAATTAAATTAAATAGTTTATTTTTATATTAATATTAATTTTATATTAAAAAACCCCATAATTTTGGCGAGGAATAAGTAGTTTGAAAGGGATAAGTTGTGTTGCCTTACTAATATTGCCACGTTCTATCATTGATATCCATATCTGACTTTGAAAATGTCAGTCTCAAGAGATTTTTATATAATTATAACTAAAAAATACATTTTTTTTGTTTAGCAAAGAAAAGAAATACTATGTACTACGTTATTCTCCATTTCTCCTTCTGGACTATGGCTTCCACATCCTTTGAAAAAATACATATTTAAACTAGATTTAATATATTATTTAATATCTGATTTTGTTAGTATTTTTTACAAATATGGTACTTGTATACTATTTTTAACTAATTTAATACTTATATTTATCAAACGTTACACGTGAGTAATTAAATTAATGACTTTTGCGAAAGCGGTACATCTACTTTCCTTTTAATCAATTTGGTACTTTTACTTATCATTGTTATACGTATGATACATGTGTAATGTTTGATAAATAAAAGTACCAAAACGATTTCAAATAGAACATATTATATATATTCGTAAAAAGTGATAAATTCAAGTGTTAAATGTGTAACTTTTACAAATATTGATATCTAATTGGTTAAAAAATATAGGTACCATTTTCTAAAAAATGAAAAAAAATCACGTATCAAATACGATATTAAACCTTTATATATATATATATATATATATAGGGTATGATGGCAATAAACTAATTGAGAGAATATCCTAATAATTTGGATGAACCACTTTTGACTCGATCATTTGATGGCATTTTCTCCATCGGCCTTGGCATCATTGGCGGCCCATGAATTCACAGTACGGACAATGCATACACAACATAATATATTAAATTGTAATATATATATTACAGGTTTATCCCTAAACTACGTTTTTTTCTTTAAGTCCTTACATTATTTATTTGTAAAAATAAGTATCTAAACTATATATTCTTTTTATTTTAAGTACCTAAACTATTTTTGGTCAAAAGAAGTATCTAATTTTGTGTGATATGTCAACATCTGATTGGCCGAAAGAAATTTTTCGAACTAAAAAAATGATAGGACTTAAAGTTGTTACATATAATAGTTTTAGGACTTATTTTGACCAAAAAATAATTTAGGGGCTTAAAGTAAAAGAGTTATATAGTTTAGGGACTTCTTTTTACTTTAAGCATATATTAAACATGACACTAGCATAAAACTAAAAAGGGTTAAATATATATTGAACCTCCAAAATTGTTCATTTTTCTCATTTTGGTATTTAAATAGATGTGATTTTTAATAATAAATTTGGCATCAAACCTCCAAAAGTATTACATTAATGATAAATTATTTCAAATTAAAATAAAGACCAAACTGATTAGATATTGAAAAATTATTAAATTACTTTAAATTAGGAAATTTTTTATAGAATGTGTAGGATTTAGGGACTAAAACAAATATTATATCATATCACATCATTATTACATTTAATTCATGATCAAATTTAATGTTGAGTATCAAAATAAAAAAAACATAACATTAGATATGATTTTGTAAAATATGATTAAATTAAACAACATGAGAATAAATGAAATATCAAATAAGTAGTTGGGTGACCAAAATAACTATGTGAAAACATATAAAATACCAAATAGATAGTTTACTCAAGAAAACAATGTGAACATATGAATATTTTAAAATTAATATCTAATAAACCTTAAATCCTAATTACTCTTTTGAAATTGTCTTAGGGTGTGTTTGGTTCACGGAATGTAAGATTATCAGTGGGAATAAAAGATTACCAGTAATATGATTACTGGAAATATTGTATTTTGTGTTTGGTTGGTTTAGCAGGAATTAAGATTATCGTGTTTGGTTAAAGGAATAAAAAATTATTGGAATGTATATTTGACCAAATTGTCCTTATTATATATATTTTTTTAATAAGTTGGAAAATATTTATATATTTTATTTAAAAAATTAAATTCATAAAATTTATATAATTTTTTGTACAAAATTGAAAATATAATAATGTTTAATGAAAGGGTAAAATTTTGTTTTAACCCCTGAACTTCATATAAAATTTTAATTATAGATTTTTTTGTAAATCTAAAATAGTTTAAGGATAAATTTGTAATTTAATATTCGTAGAATTTTTATTATTTAATGACAGAATAAGGATATTTTTTAAAGAAATTTTTTAAGGGCATTTTAGTCCAAAACGCTGGTAATCCAATAATACCTAAGGAAATGGAGGTAATGACATTCCCGGTAATATACCCCAAAAAAATCCACTATTGGTAATGTAAGATTACCGGGAATGACATTCCCGACCAACCAAACGGGGGAATGTGAATTCCATTCCCATGGGAATCTCACATTCCCCTAACCAAACACACCTTTAAAGTAATTGGAAAGAACCACTTTGACTGACATGACATCGAGGATTGGCAGTTTCCTCGTCGGCTCAAGCATCATTGGCGGCCTATGAATTCACAGTACGGGCAATGCACTCATGTCTTACTATATATATTATTACATATGAAACAACAACAACAATAATAATAATAGATAAAAAAAGAATATGAGAGATCCGGCGATTTTACAGAAAAATCATCTTGACAGGAAATGATTACTTGACAAACATCATTTTGCTAAAATTTACCAATTTAGCACCCTTTCTCACAAGGCGTGGTTCACCATCTGTGCCTTTTCGAGGTTTCGTCCGAGCTAACGTCACATCATGAAAGTTGCATATGGTCATCCACGCCTTCTCTGAGCTGGTGCCACGTAAGGGACAAGTGCGGATCTAGGATTTTTAACGCGCGGTTATAAGGCGTAGATATTTCATTATTGGTTCTGAATATCTCGGCCTTTTAACTCTCCCATCGCCTATAAATAACACCCCTTCAACCGTAAACATCACCACATCAATTCATTCGATTTTTGTTGTAAGGTAAAATTATCTTTCATTATATTATATTTATTTTATATATGATTATTTGAAATAATTTTATTGTACTATTTATTTTATATTATTTTTACGGTTGTAAAATTAGAAAGTGGGATCATACGTCGAGACATTTTTGCCGATACGGTAATAATATAAAATTATATTATTTAAATTATTGTGAAAATTTTTAAAAATTTATTAGGTTATATTTTAATTCATATACTATTTATTTAATTAGGCCTATTTTAGGTATTGTTTTTGCAGATATAATACTCTCAATCTTTCAAACTCTCATAATGACGCGTATTTCAACTATTGTTTACTATGATGGAGAAATTCAGGAAGATGAAATCGGCGTCGTGTTCGCATCAAACCATTATGTCAAAATATCCTTCAAGAGAAACATAACTCTTGAGGAGCTGACAACGAAGATTTCAAGGAAGGTTCATGTTGGAAGTACTAGAAGACTGTCCTCAATTCAGTACATATTTCCAACCGTAGTATTTTTGTTAACTTATACAGCGTTTGAGCTATCCAACGATGACAATGTTGCAATGATGGTTGATTCTCAAAATCATTATTCAGGCGCCAATACAAAGATGTATGCGAAATTTGTTGAAGTGTGTGTTGTTCGTGGTATGTCATTATGCTCCCACTATGGATTGGCTCAACAAGCTGATCAAGTTGACATCCCAACTCAAGTAATATGTAATGATTTTAACTCTTTAATGGGAAATCCACATCATGGTGGCATTCCATCAAGTTCAATGGGGAGACATTCATTGGTAACTTCTTATGATCTGTACCGAAATGGCTCCACAAATAATTCGTATGGCAACATCGCATCCAGTTCAAGGGGAAGACATTAATTTGCCAATTTCTTTGACCTGAATATAGAGCTGCCCTCGACGCAGCAATTTATGCAATACCCATTTGACACGGTGCCTTCAAGCTC